TAGAAAATGGTCTCACTGGGGCTTTTTGTTAAACTCCTGTTTCTCTAGCCATTTATAGTTTTCACAGTCTCCCGATGCTATTGTCGCACCCATTTGGCCAATGAGGTCAGTCACTTCCTCCCCTCATACACCTGAGAAGCGGTGGAGCCGGCTTCCCACCTGCGTCCCCATTGCCGGGCTCTGGGCCATTCCCGTATCTGCTCTGCATTTCGCGTCCCTTGTCTGTAAAATGGGATCTTTCTCCCACCCGGTCGTGCTCTTCAGCAACAGAAGTGAGAGTTGTGTTGAGTCAGCATCGGACAGGCGGTCAGCAAATGGCAGTGGTAGGGCTGTTGTCCCCAAGCTGCCTCCTCAGTGTCCTGGGGCCTCCCCCTCCCCCTGTGCTCTAGTCACCTGATGCCCTTCCCCGGGAATGTTCCAGTTCCTTCTCTGGGTCCTCCACACAATCCAGGCCTCCCTGAGATGTGCCTCTGGGGGGCCCTGCTTAGGCCTTAGGTTCCCGTCAAATGGGACAAGGTGGGCACATTTCCCAGACTCCTTCACGGTGTCTTGCAGGCTCGGGGAGGGCAGGGATTTGGGAATCAGAGGATGTGAATGTCACGGTCTCCTCCCGTCTCAGCTCCTGAGCGAATTGCTAAGGTGAGACTGAGGTCTCCTCATCAGCTGAACGGGGACCGTGGCCCTACATGGTTGGCATCGTGGGAAGGAGCCCAGCCCCTGTCTCACCCACACGCTCCTCGCTGCTGTCCTCAGAGGGCAGACCTTGCACATCGCTTCCCACGAGAAGGGAGAGATTAAAACGCCACACGTTGCACCCTGAGATAAATAGAAGATATTGGGGATATCGCAGTAAACAGAATAGAAAAAGTCCCTGTGCACATAAAGCTACATTCGAGTCGATGGGCCGCTGAAACAAGCAGATGAAAGGAATGTATAACATTACGTCATCTGCGCTGTGACGTAAAGCAGAATATGCAAACCTAGTTGAAGGGTGTATAGATCTTTTTGGAGCTCTGAGAAAGCATGTGAGGTTAAGAACATAAATAGAAATTTTCAGGATTGTCCCCCAACCCCTAAAATAGTAAAGGAGGAGTCACTCAGAAGGGGTTCTTCATCCCCAAGAAGAATCCTTCGTTTTGAAGTTTGGTGACTGTGCTCCTGTGTCCCAAGGAGTGAAAATCTCGGTGCCAAGCAGAGGGAAGCCTCCTCCAGTGATTGTGGTCAGGCTCCCATGCACCAGTCGACCCCTGCGAGGATTCGGATTCCCCCACCCCTTCGCAGTTGTCACAGGAGCACAGGAAAATAAAGGGGGCAAAGGGGGACGGGATGCCAAAAACCGCCCTGTGTTTTCCGCAGATCCAAATGTAAGCCACTGCCTGGGCTGTGCTCAGCACCGCTCCCCTCGGGGCACGCAGGAGCCGAAGGCCAAGCTCCTTCAGGACAGCGAAGCCCAGTGTGTGGGCCACTGAAGCTTTGAGCTGGGACTGGAGTATTTTAGGGGGCTACCAAATTTTTCAGGAGCCACTGGATAAAATCTCAGATGAAAATTTAATGTGGTGTATTTCATATTCTCTGGGTTATTCAAGGAATGATTCAATTAGAGCGCACGTTAGAGCCCTTGGTTAAATCAGAGTGCTTGATTAGATTAAAGCGCTTCCATTTTTTTTTTTTTTTTTTAATATATCTTTATTGATTTCAGAGAGAGGAAAGGAGAGGGAGAGAGAGACAGAAACATCAATGATGAGAGAGTCATTGACCGAGCCCACAACCTGGGCATGTGCCCTGACCGGGAATCGAACCCGGATCGCCTGGATCCCAGGTCGATGCTCAACCACTGAGTCACGCCCGGCCAGGCCATTTCTTTTTTTTAAATCCTCACCCAAGAGTTTTTTTCCCATTGCTTTTTGGAGAGAGTGGAAGGGGGAGAGAGAGAGAGAAATGGATGTGAGAGAGACACGTCGACTGGTTGCCTCCCGCATGCGCCCCGACCTGGGCCAGGGATCGAGCCTACAACTGAGTATGTGCCCTTGGCTGAAGTCAAACCTGGGACCCTTCAGTCCGAGGGCCGACGCTCTAACCACTGAGCCAAACTAACCGGGGTTAAAGCACTTCAATGTTTTTAAAGCACTTCAATTTTAAAGCACTTCATCTAATCAAGTGCCCTAATCTAATCAAGCGCTGGTTTAATCAAGGGCTTTGATTTGATCTGCTGCTCTTAAGCACTCTGATATAATCAAGTGCTTTGAAAATGAAGCGCTTTGCCCCGCCCTTGTGCCTCAGTGGTTGAGCCTCAACCTATGATCCAGGAGATTGCGGTTCGATTCCCGGTTCGATTCCTGGTCAGGGCACATGCCAGGGTTGCTGGCTTGATCCCCAGTAAGGGGTGTGCAGGAAGCAGCTGATCAATGATTCATCATTGATGTTTTTCTCTCTCCCTCTCTCCCCCTTCCTCTCTCTGAAATCAATAAAGAAGTAATAAATAGAGATGTATTTGAAAAAAAAGAAAATGAAGCACTTTGAAAATAAAGCACTCTAATCAAATGCACAGAGTAGTTCCTCAAGTGTTTACTCAATGTTTAAAATTGGGGCCCTTAACCAGATGATTTGAAATCCAGTTATACCACAAATTATCTTATAACTTTGTTAGGTTGGCCTGTCTGAAGGTTAAGTTTCCTCATGTATAAAATGGAAAAAATAACAGTACTTACCTAATGATGATTATGAGGATTATATGGGTAATACATATAATGTATTTAGAAGAATTCCCAGTGTAAGTGTTGCTAATTATTATTTACTGTTTCAGCAAACACTAAAAGCACCACTGTAATTAAATGGGCTTTGTGGAATTTTTGAAAGTAAAAAGGTCATCAGAGGATTTGAGAACTAAGCTAAAAGCAGTGATAATTATAAAAGAAAAAATTCAAGTGACACAATCTCATCTATAGTTGTGGAATGGGACCAGGCTTCCAGAATCTTCTGTAACGTCACGTCAGGGATGTTCATTAGTCTGTTTGCAAACAGAAAGGTGACAATTTTTGTGCATTTGTACTCAAACAGTACGTCTCCAAAGTGGTTCGGTGCTAGAGAGAGTAGCTCTAAAAATCGCAGATTGGGGCTCTGGAATGGTCCCTTGGGAGCCTCAATATTGGATGACAGAAATTTTAAAAAATATACTTGATGTATGATGAAAAAGCAAAATTTTCTATCTGGAATGTTGGTGTCACTTGAATGCCATGGAATTTGTCATCTCCCACAATTTCATCGGCTACATTTAAATAGTGCTGGTGCGTTGATCACATCTTACGTGTGAGGGGAAGCAGAGCGTAGCTTTCCCGCAGGAAGCTGAAAATCAGAGCCCGAGTCCTCGTTTTCAGGGCACCCATTTAAGTAAACTTGACTGCCTCACGCGGCCATGTAGGTGTGGGGGACACGGTGAGTGGGGCGGCTGGTCTGCTGGAGGCGGGGAGAGACCTGCAGGTCCCTGAGTGTGCGGGGGCCACTGGTGAGGGGGTTGTGGGGTGACCGGCAAGCCGTTCCACTGTGCAAACGAGGGTAAATGGGTTCGGCTTTTAAAAGGGCAAGTAGGCAATAAGGTACCAAAAGCTTAAAAATATGTCTGGTCTGTGACTTAGAAGTTGGGATTTTTTTAGGAACAAATAAAGATGTGTGCACAGGTATTTGTTCAAGGGGGTTTATCCTGTAGTTGTTAAGAGAAGAAAAATAAAAACTGGAAGCAGTAACCTAGGCGCCTAGCAGTGAGGAGGTTAAATGGATGTGAGAGCATTCACACTGGGGAACCCCAGCAGCTGCGAATTTTGCTGCCAAAGTTATTTATCCACCTGAACAGATGGCCCCTTATGTAATAATAATGTCATAATAATGGTGATGACAGCTCACACTTACATGGCATTTGCCATGTGCCAGGCACAGTCCTAAGTGCTTTCTATCCATTAACGCATTGTCATAACAACCTGTGAGGTACGTGCTCTTATTTCCTCCCTTTTACAGATAAGGAAAGTGAGGCACAGAGAGGTTAAGTAATTGACCCAAAGTCACACAGGTGGTAAGTGGCTGGCTGGAATTTGAACCAGGATATCTGGCTGCAGGGTCCAAAAGATGTTTCAAAAACAGTGGGATTTTTGTTTTGTTTTGTTTTTAAATCTTCTTCAGTGTATAGATTAGCCCTGAAAAGGGAATGACAGGATATAAGCAACAATGTTAACAGTGGTTTTCTTTGGTTAATAGGATCCTATGTGATTGTCACTTCTTTTTGCTCTTCTGTTTTTCTGACTTTTCTCAGTGAATGTGTATTATGTGAAATTCACGTTTTATTTTTTACAACTAAAAAGTACCAAATGTGTAGGGGAAGGTGGTAAGCGCTGGGGTTCTGATGAAACCGATCGGTGGGGATTCTGAGGAAGAGCTAAGTCCAGTGTTGTGAGGAGGGTGTGTTCTTGGCAAACTCCAGGGAGGAGGTCATTCAAGGTGCACGTGGACGTGGGCTTTCCTCGCCAAGGCCTGCACTTGGGGACCCCCGGGAATGGAGCTGTGGGTGTGGTGCCCTTGCCCCTGCCCGGGCTTGTGCTGGGAGAGTCAGAGCAGGCCCCAAGCCTTGCCCTCCCTCCCCAGGGCTTCTGCTACACGACGTGACCATGGCCGGGCTGCAGGAGCTGCGATTCCCGGAGGAGAAGCCGCTGCTCCGGGGCCAGGACGTCGCTGAGCTGGTGAGTCGTCCCGGGGCGGAGGGCACCCCCTCGTGGCCAAGAAGGAAAGCGCGTGCCTTCCCTCCGGCCTTTCCCAGCTGACCCTCCGTGGGGCCAGCCACGTGCCCAGAGTAATCAGGCCGCCCTGAGAAGCCTAGTCCCCGCCTGGGGAGTGTCCCCAGCCAGGCTGAGTGCTCATGCGACTGACACACAAACACCCTCGCTGCGGCTCTGGCTGCCTTGGAGACTGGGAGGCTCTTTTTAAAAAATATGTTATTGATTTTTGAGAGAGAGCGCAACATCTATGTGAAATTGAAACATCCACCGGCTGCCTGGGAGGCTCTTCAGAAGTGTTATTCCCATCCCAAGTATGAGAAAACTGAGGCACAGAAAGGTTAATTCACTTGGCCAAGGTCACACAGCAATCAGGGAATGAGGCTGAACTCAACCCCTGGTTCTGGGAGGCCCTAGAGCCCCAGGAGGGTACCCGCTGGGCAGTGCCAGGCCTTTCCTGGTCTGCGACTTCTGTCTTTTCCTGGCAAGCTCTGAGTTTTGAGGGCAAATATCACCAACAGTGTGCCCTGGGGCTCTAGGGTTAGGTTCCAGAGTTATTTCTACCCCACACTTCCTTGTTGTGGTGCCGCTTGGCACCCTTCCCCTCCTTGCAAGGAAAAGCTGTGGGTCCACGCTCATAAATCCCACCAGCCTGTGGCCTGCGACTAAGCCTCTCTGAGCCTCACTCTGCTCTCCTGTCCATGGAAATCTTCACATTTTACATGAACAGGGAAAATCTATGTGAGTAGCTGCTCATAGGCTAATCTGTTAGGCACTTACTAGCCCAGTGCCCTGGGTCACTTTTGTTAACATTAAGATAAATGGAGCCCAGCTGGGCGTGGCTCAGTGGTTGAGCATCGACCTAGGATCCAGGAGACCGCGGTTCGATTCCCGGTCAGGGCACATGCCCGGGTTGCGGGTTCGATCCCCAGTCAGGGGCGTGCAGGAGGCAGCCAATCAATGACTCTCATCATTAATGTTTCTATCTCTCACTCCCTCCCTTCCTCTCTCTGAAATCAATACAGATATATTAAAAAGAAAAAGATAAGTGGAGCCCAGCTAACGTGGCTCAGCGATTGAGTGTCAACCTATGAACCAGGGGTTAGTTCACTGGTTCGATTCCCGGTCAGGGCACATGCTCATGTTTGGGGCTTGATCCTCAGTAGGGGGCGTGCAGGAGACAACTGATCCATGTATCTCTCCCACATGATGTTTCTCTCCCTCTAAGAAAAAAAAAAATGTTTCGGGAATAGCAAATGAATCTGCTCAAGGCCAAGCCCATGTGGCCCTTGGCCAGCCAGGGCCTAACACTCTCCCCCTGTGTTTGCTCCCTCAGGAGAACTCCGACACCTTCCTCTTGACTGTGGACACAGACTGGAAGGTAGGTCTCGGCTCTCAGCCTCCTGAGATGAGGGACCTACAGCTGGCCGGCCCCTCACCCACCAGCCTGGTCCCAGAGGAGGGTCACACCCTTCCACGTGCCTGGAATGACAGGGGCTCGGCACCTGAGCACCTGGAAGCCTCCGGGACCACCCTCACTGCTTACAGTGGCTCTGCCTGCCCCCTGCCCCTCGGGGAGATGCCCCCTCCCCCCTGAACAGGAGGGGGGAAGGGAGGCCTGGGGGAGTGAGGGTGGAGACAGGAGGGAGGGATGCTGTCATCTGAATCAGCATTTTCCTCCAATGAAAGCCAGGCTGATGCTCCAAAATAGCTCCTGTTTCCATGGCAGCTGTTGCCGGGACAACCATGTCCTCTTTAGTTGGCTGCCAGATTCCCTGTGAAAACTGAAATCTTTCTTTGTTTTTATTCTTCCTCACCATGATTTCACTCGATGGGCCGGCCAGCTGTTTCTCCCCTCTAAGTTCCGTAGTGGCCATTTATTTCCGGGTCTCAGAAAATGTCTGGTGGTGGACCCAGTGGGAGCCTTGCCAGTCCCAGGGCCCTGCTGGCCACCAACACACACTGAACAAATGCAGACCCTTCTGGGACCTTCCTCCTGGCTCGATTGAGCTGGCCCCCCAAAGCTCTGGCCTGGGCCTGACTTCAATTTGGGTCAGTCTCCAAGCCCTAGGACATCCCCAGCCTCCTGGTCTGCAGGCAAGGGTGACGTGGGAGGTGGGGCGACATGCTGGCTCCTCCCCAGACAGCAGCTCTGCATTGAGGATCCTGGCCGGTGAGCCAGGCCCTGGGTCACAAGCCCCTTCAAGGACGAAAGAATGTGCTGGTGTGCTCCTGCTCCAGTCCCCCAGGAGTTCCAGCTCCAAATACAAAGGGCTCTTGGAGCTGGGAAGGACAGGAACAGGGCCTGGGAAGGAGGGAATAAACAGGAGCTCAGGGAGAGAGAGATGGATGTGGCTAGGAGATAGCAGAGGCCCAGCCAGAGATCAGGACAGGCATGCCAAGGTGTCCTCTTTGTCTTCCCTGCCCTGAAAGAGAGCCAGGATGTGTGGACAAACAGAACCTCCTCCCCAGGAGAGGGCTGGTGACATCAAACCCCAGAGCAGCTAGCCCCTGTCTCGCTTTCCTCACCTATGAAATAGCTGTTAAGGAGATAAAATGAGGTAACATGTGTAAAGCATTTTAGTAGATCCTGGCACATGGGGATATAAATGCTCCTTTGCTACTCTTAATAATGTGAACTCAGGCGCAGAGTGCTCAGGCGCTAGTAAGCTTCAGTTTCCTGATCCTTTCTCACGGGTTTGTGAGCATTGTGTGCTATCCTTGCAGGTGGCACTGTTGTTTTCCCACTTACAGATGTGGAGGCTCAGGGAGGTTGACTGACTTGCCCAAGGTCACACAGCAAAGATGTGGGAGAGCTATGACTGGTGCCTGGGTTCAGGTAGCAGGACCAGAGCCTGCCTTGTTCAGCCACAACTGCACAGCCTCCAGGGAAGGGGCCAGCAGTTTGGAAAGGCACATGGATTGTCCCATTTCTTCCAGACATGGGCAGGGCCTGGGCAGGCGTGGGGTCAGGTCTAGAGTGATTTATGCAACTTTTTCTCATTCTCATAGGAACTCTGTGCAGAAGGCACAATTGCTGTTTTACAGTTGAGGAGCCTGGGATGCAGGAAAGTTAAACCTTGCCCAAGGTCACCCAGCTAGTGGGTCCACTGGAGCTGGGACTTCAGCTCAGGGCTGTGGCTGTGAAGCAAGTGAGCTGAGCAGAAATGAGGCCTCGCTTGGAGTGGGCAGTGTCCGAGGTCAGCTGCTCACCTGAGTCCAAGGGTGGGAAGGCCACTCAGCGGTCATAGGTTGGAGTGCCCATAAAATTGGATGCGGACCATGTAGGAGCTGGAGTTGTGCGGGCAGAAAGGATGGCAGGCCATCTGTCCCCACTGGGAGAAGCTTATGGGGGGACCTTGAGGGCTGTGCCTTTGCAGCCTCTGCCTCAGTGGCTAGAGCCTCTTCCTGTGTCCAAGTGGCCGCAGGATGTGAGGGGACGGGGAC